CCGGCGCGATGAGACAAAACTAATAAAACCCATTATAAACGAGGCATTTGTTGCATCCAGTGGGGACATAATTACTGATTATAATGACTTATATTGTCTTTTTACGCGTTGCGTTGCATATCGCGTTGCATAAACATAAAACCATGTCTGCATTTGTGATCAGAGAAATTACAAACAACAAGTGCTACTCTACACTGCTCAAAACTCGCGTTTGAATCATCAGTGGCAAATTCTTTAAATATGAAAACATACTTACAGACTGTGAGTCAGAACAGCCGGCATTGTAGTCTACTCTACCAGGATCAGGAAACAGTCCTCCATAAAATGTGCTGCACACATCTGAATATTTGGTTTGAACTGTTCTGGAACAGTGTTGTAAATACAACTTAACCACTGACTTCTAGTCGTGTCCTCTTTTGGAAGACCAAACAAAGTATTTTCGCTTTCGCAACAAAACACACAGCGTCTCCACGACATGGCGGCAGCAACAATAAAGTTGCACCTTCTTTCTTTGCGTGAACATTTGGGCGGTGTTATCCAAATCTTCCCACATCGTGACGTAGACATGTGGGGGCGTGTTTAAACGAGGCGTTTTAGGAGGGCGTGGGACAGTCTTAACTTTTATAAAGAATATCTCTTTGGGTTTGAGACTTTAGTCTTTGCAACTTTAGGGATCTTATCTATTCACGAACAGCTTGTAACACACCAAAGAGAAAGGAAAACTTGAAATCGCATCATATGACCCCTTTAAGGCTCTTGCCTAAAAAGTTCACCCCAAAATGAAAATTCTGTCCTTTAATTTGAAACTTGACAGCCCAAATCCTCATTTATTTTCCTTCCATGGAAAAGAGTGGACAGAATATTCTTCAAAGACTAATCTTCTTGTGTTCCACAGAAAAATATGTGCTTGGAATAATGCAAATATACATTTTCAGTTGAACTATCCCTTTAACATAATAATGTTTTCATTACTTTTTTTGGCATTACATGACTAAATTGGTCCTTATAGGTGCAATGTTATATTTTCATAGTTATAGCTGAATGTGCTGCATGTCACAGATTGCATGAGATGTGTTAATAGAACTCAGACTGAGATTCTATCACCACTCTGGGCCTCTGGATATCACAGACAGTTTGCTGAGATATTGACTGTCCTCAGATCTCTCCGAGCTGGCCATTCAAAGCCACATTGGGGCCATTTCCCATTAAGACATCTGTGCAGAGTGTCACTTCAGAGCCTAGGTGCTGTGCTGAAATGAGCAACCCATCAACACTTGCTCAAAATGTCACTTTGACAAGATGGCTCCTCAGGATAGCTGTCACTGTGTGTGATTTATAACACAACTGTACAGAATTTATGATCAGTAAGAGCGAATCAAAGTTTTGTGTACATACTGTATATCTGAATTGCCACATAAACTTCTGACATAGCTTACTGCTTGGTGCATTTAACCGATTTGTGTGGATATCTAGTTGAAGGCCCTCTAAAGCAATATTACTTTGTTTTCTGCTTAACATCAGCTCTTATAAATTAAATTGTCTGACTGTATTTGTGTCATTAAAATATCACTCTGCTTTGTAAGAATATTTGGTAACACTTTAGTTTAGGAAGCAATTCTCACTATTAACTAGCATATTACTAGCTTAATATCTGTTTATTTGTACTTGTAAAGCACGTATTAATGCCTTATGCTGCATGACCATATTTTAGATCCCTTAACCCACCCCATACCTAAACTTAACAACTACCTTACTAACTATTGATAAGCAGCTAATTAGGAGTTTATTGGGGCAAAAGTCATAGTTAATAGCTAGTGAATAGTGAGAATTAGTCCCTAAACTAAATTGTGACCGAATATGTTTGCCTGTTCAGGGGAAAACTGTGAAATGTTCTGTTGAATATATGGCTCGAACAAGTCATCCAAACAAATGTACAGTTAATTCAGCATTAACATTGAGCCGTATATGCTAAACAATAGCAAATAATATTATTTGTGTTTTTTAGAATACGTTATTAATTCCGAATTCAAAGTTACAGTGGGATTTCTTTTTACTAACTCGTTAAAAAGAATGGTCCATAAGAGTCATTTGTTTGTTGTGTGTAGGAAAAACTGGCATGTGCTCCAGTTTGAGATCTGACAAAACCACTTTAGATGCACACAATCCTTTCCCAACTGTTACCGATGTCTGCTTTTAACATTATTTTTAAAATGGTTAATTTTTCCATTTGCAACCATTTTAGTTGCAGTCTGGCTTGGCTTGCATTGAGACAGCTGTCATCAAATGACTGTAAGACTACTTAAATCAAAGCTTCAGTGGCAGCACAGTGTTTCATTCACCCTGACCTTTCTTAAAGGGACAATGAACTGCCTTTTTATCATTTTGTTCTGTCCACTTATAATGTTATCAAGATCAAAAAACATCATTATTTAGAAGTAATAGGTTATTTTTTGTCCTTTTTGACCCCCTCTTTGGAACGCTCTGTTTGAATAGGTGTGGCAGATTGTAGACTCAGAAGTAAACGCCCACTGCTATGATTGGCTAACAGTTGTATATGTTTGACAGCCAAATCCTTCATAGATGGATGCTGATGTGGTTAAAAACACATAAATACTCAGTACATATCAAACGAACTGTAATTACAGACAAAGCACTAGTGACCACGTAATAAAAACTCAGACTTGTGTGGTGCGACATTACTGTCAGATCCAATATAGTCTTACAGCATTGTCTTTTAGTTTCAATCTTTTTGAAAATTGTGCCTTGTTTGTAAATTAATCCGCTGTTGAAATTAAGTAAACAAAGGACCAAGTTCTTGCTGGCGGGGTCTGGATCTTCATTAAAAATAAAGTTCATCCATTCTTTCCGCATAGGCGTAATTTGCGGGTGGGACGGGTGGGACATGTCCCCACCACTTTTTGCCAGGGTCGATATTGTCCCTACCACTTTTTGAAAGTAATTGAAAAATATATTGCGGAAGGTATGTATTAAAGGGAAAACAAGATCAACAAATCATTCTTCATAATCTAATTAGGGTGATAAAAAAAACAACAACAACAACATTTGACTCCTTATGCATGCATAACTCGTGCAGTGCAATAACGACGTGATTTGCAGCTGTCGCACTTTTCGTAATGTCATTAGGCTATAGCATTTTATTTTTAAAATGGAGAGCTTCCTTGTGCTAAGTAGGCCTGCCCTGTACTAAAGATTTTTCTAGTCAACTAGTCGCACGTTATATTAAATT